CACTCACCTCAGCCTCCCAAAGGCACGGGATTACAGGCTGAGCCACCGAGCCCGGCGGGCACAGTGTTTTTAAATAACTCTGATAGATTGAGATTTGTTACTAACTATTTTTTCTTTTGCTTTTAATTTATACTTCTGGGATTATCAACAGAGTTAAAAATTATATTTAATATGTAGTATGTAAAAAAATGGAAAAGAGGAGGGTGTGGGAGTGGGAGAGCATACCTTTAAAGAATCATGAAAATCTGATTTACAGTTATGAAAATATGATAGGTTAAATAACCTGAAAACTCATCTGTTAAGAAACGCCTGAAAACATTGGGTAAAATATAACAAATAATTCTTTTTAAAGCATATGTAAGCTCAAAAAAAAAAAGTGTAATGCTTATGGACTAGAAATAAAGAGAGATGATTATAAATTAGAGCAGTGAACTGGAATTGATGGTACGAATGCCCCTGGCTGATTTCAGTAACCTATTACTACCCAGGAGCTGTCATACCAGGAGCTTGTTTTTAATTCCCATACTAAGAAAAAGTCCTACTGTTCATGTGACCTTTGTGAGACTCCCTCACAGAAAGCTGGAACCTGCAAAGAAAGATGATTGACATGAAAGGATAGATTAGAGAAAATCTTCCACTGGCACAAATTGATGACAAACTCCTTTTTCTGGACTTGGTTTAAGGGATGGAATGGAGGTGAGACTGGGGTCTACCCTAACTTTATACTTAGGAACCTGCCTTTGTTAGGGTTTGTGATGTGCATTTACATTCCCTGCTCACTCCAGAAATCACTAAGTCCAAATATTGCCAAAGCAGTCATGGGCTTATAAAATCTTTGAGGCACCTGGCTAAAACAAATCTAGAAAAACCAAGGAAGCTACAGGATTACCATTGATAAAACACTGCAGGTAAGCTTACAACCCACCATGAGTACGAGTTAGCAGACATAACAAATAGAAAGAAGTTTCTCAGATGCCCAAGAAGTTAAGTGTTCTAAATGTCCTTCAAAAAGGAAACCAAAAAATGAGAAATAAAAGTGACCAGGTACATTGTTTACATAATATTATTTATAAATAATTTAACTATTAAATAATACTTTTTAAATGTTAGCTATTAATATAGCCTCAAGTTGTACAAAATAGAAATTGATGATTGCCAAGGAAAATTGACAAATTTGCATTACAGTGGGTAATTTTTTTCCTCCTCTCAGTAATTAATAGGTTAAGCATACAAAAATATGGCTCAAAAGATTTAAACATGGTATCTTGCTCTCAACATTCAGAGAATCTGCATTCTCAACAAGCATGCATAAAACATTTAGCAAAACTGATACATGCAGGCTAACAAAGGAAATCTGAACATACACCTATGCTTGGTATCATGTAGAGCATCCTGTGACAAAAAATATGATTAAACTAGGAGCCAGCAACCAAAGGATTATTTTAAAACCCTTTATGTTTGGAAATGTAATAATATGCTAACTTGGTAATTCACCGGTCACAGAAAAAATCAGGATGGAAATATGAACATTTAAAACACAATAATGATGAAAATATTACATATCAAAAATTGCAGGATGCAGCTGAAACAGTATTTTGAGGGAATTTATGACGATAAATGCTTTCTTTAGAAGGAAAAAAAGATTGAAATTGATTAAGCAAGATTCAACCTAAGTGGTTAAATGAATGACAAATTCAAAGAAAGTAAAGGGCAGTAATTCTAAAAAGCAGAAATAAATGAAATTAAGAACAAAGAGAATGAATCAGCAGGGCCTAAAGCTAGCTCTTTGTAAAAGTTAACAACACACAAATTTCTACCAAGACTGAACTAGAAAAAAACAAATAATGTTAGTAATAGAAAAAGTTATAAATCAACTATAGCAAAGATTTTAAAATATTATGAGACAAATAACTATGAAAGAGACCTGCTGGACAAAAGAGGAAAAAAGCTTGTTTTTCTTTAATAAATAAATGACAAAGGGAAGAAGAAAAACAAGAACCTGTGAAGATATAATAGGCAAATGTACCAGTGACATTAAAAGATAATTAAAAGTTTGAACACTGGTATCTGGTATTAAGACGTTATTTATTTGTTTGGTTTGATAATAGTATAGAGGGTTGTTTTGTTTGGTTTGTTTGTTTGTTTGTTTTTGTTTTTAAGAGACAGGATCTTGTTATGTTCGTCTCTGACTCCTGGGCTCAAGCAGTCTTCCCACCTCAACTTCCCAAAATGCTGGGATTATAGACATGAGCCTCTGCACCTGGCCTCAGAGGTTGTTTTTTTAAGTGACTTTAGTGATGCATATGGAACTATTTACAGATGAAATGACTTAATATCTGGGATTTGTCTCTAATATGTGAAGAAAGATAAAATAAGATTGGTTATGTTGACAGTTGTTGAAATTGGGGGTGGGTACCTAGATATATATTTTGTCTGCGTTTGCATATTTGAAATTTTCAATAATAATGTTTTAGACTATCAAAAGAATATTATGAATAATCTTTGTTAATAGTTATATGAACAGTATAAGTGGTGATGTCTGGAGAAGATGAAGGGAATTCCTATTTTTTCCTTTCTTTTCTCTCTTTTGTTTATTTTTTCTTTTTTTTTTTTCCTCTCTTTTCTCAGTCCTTCTAACTCACAACAGGTTAAGAGACTGAAACCCTGAGAAAACTGTCATTCTGGCTAGAGGAATTGGGTAAAGGAGACCATGTTATCCTCTAGGAAATTTGAAGGAAATCTTGTGGAAGAGAGAACTAGAGAAGGGAAAGCACTAATTCTGGCTTTTCTTCTGGGATGCATACACATCCAAACAAACATGGCAAATTTGTTGGGAACCACATTACATTATAAACCACCATCTGAGCCCCGGAGTGGGGCAAGCCTACAGCACACCAAAGGCTTTGAAAACAGAACCAACCTAACCCTGAATTGTGCCCCACATCTTTAAAAAAGAAAGAAAGAAAGAAAACTGAACCAATCACCACCCAGAGTGAGACAGAAATTGCAGTTGGAACATAGCTTGGTTGATTGCCTAAAAAAGCAAAACAGATAACAAATCAGCATCCTCCAGGGACTTTTAACAGCATCCAGAGTCTCCCAACATGCTATTCAAAATGTTTAGGATACAACAAAAAGTTACATACAAAGAACTCAGAAAATCTGATTAATTCTAATTTGTTGATTAACAGATTCCAACCCTAACAAAACCCAGATATTGGAATTATCAAAAACTTTAAAATAACAATATAATCATGCTTCATGAGGTAAAGATAAACACTCCTGAAGAATAGAAAATAGGACTCAGGAGAAATAGGAAAAAGTGGAAATTAAAACAAAAAAAAGAATGGCTAGGGCTTTTAACAAACATTCATTCTATGGACTCAATGGGAGAATGGAGAGAATAGAAAGTCACTGAACTTGAATCAGATTAGCAGAAAATATCTAATGTGAAATACAGAGTAAAAAGATTGAAAACATTTAGTAGATTCTCAGGAGTCTGTGAGACACTTTTAAAAGACCTAACATTTGTCTTGAATTCCTGTCCTCAAGTGAGCTGCCCGCCTTGGCCTCCCAAATGCTAGGATTACAGGCACGGACCACTGACCTGGCCTAAAAGACCTAACATTTGTGTCATTTAAATCCTAGAAGGGAAAAGGAAGAGATTGATAACAAAATAAATATTGAGAAAAAAATTACTTAAAAGTCCCAAACTTGGTGAAAAACATAAATTTACATATTTCAGAAGCTCAGGAAACACCAAACATGATAAGCAGAAACAAAAAACAAGACCTGCACACATCAAAATTAAACGACTTGAAACCAAAGATTGAAATCTGCCCAAGAAAAATGATGCATTTTATATAAGGGAGCGATGGTTTGAATGACTGTGGACTTCTTTTTAGAAATCATGGAAGCCAAGATAGTGAATCAAAATCTTTAAGTGTGGGGTGCGGGGGGAGCTGTGTACTCAATATTTTATATCCAGCAAAAGTTCTTTCAGGAATGAGGGCAAGATTAAGATATCCTCTGATGATGACAAACTAAAAGAATTTATCACCTGCAGACCTGTTATAAAAGAAATTGTAGAGAAAATTCTCTAGATAAAAGAGAATTTGTTCTAGAAAGAATCATGGAACTTCATGAATGAAGAGAAGTAAGCAATAAATATCTGGATAAATATAAACCATTTTACCAATATCAAGAATGAGAGAATATCGCTACAGACCCTACCGATGTTAAAGAGAATAAGAAAGGCTGGGGTGCAATGGCTCAAGCCTGTAATTCCAGCACTTTGGGAGACCAACGTGAGGGAATTGCCTGAGCCACTGGTTCGAGAACAGCCTGGGCAACTTGGTGAGACCTCATCTCTACAATTAGTCAAAAAATTAGCCGG